TATTTCAGCGTGTCGGAACGTGCTGAAAAACGCCCTATGCCCAAAGAAGTACAGGAGCTTCTTTGGGGCGTATTTTCGCGCGTATCCATTAGGATACAGCCGGATAGCCCTCGTAAACGAGCGTTTGACGCGCGTTTTGTGGGCTGCAAATCGCGGTTAAAACATGCACCGTCATATACGCATATTTCAAACGCATAGGTGGGAACCCAGCCTCTGAGCTTAGGGTGACAGGAGGACGCTAATTTGTGTCCTCCCGATACCCTAAGGAGAACTATGGGGAAAAGCCCTAACCCCATAGTTCTCCTTTAATCACTGATAACACTAAACTGATGAACAGTAAAAGAGTTTTATTCGTCGCCTGTGGGCCATTTTAGTTATGGATCTAATATCAAACCATAGCAATACCTCATTTTGTTTGCGGCAGACAAAACTTTGATTTGGCAACACTGTCTGCTAAATTAAAAGGGCACAACACAACTATAAACATGTTATTGCTTAACCAATGTTTAGTTATCAAACAACTGGTTTTACTGTAGAAAAAAGTGCAAATTGTATTTTGTGATTCGTTTATGACACAGAGCATGTTTTCGGTCCAAATCATGGAAGGTTATTGTGTCTAAAGGGCAGTCAAAGGATTCACATACCATTTCAATTTCCTTTCAAACGGTAAAGAAAGTTGTGTGCAGGAACAACCAGACCAGGTGGCTGGCTGGTTGATGAGCTAGTTAACTAAGCAGGACTCATGGCAAGTGGCTATCAGAATAGTAATCCATATTCAGGGTCAGAAGTAGGAATGATCCAGTGAAAAGGCTTGGCACAAAATATAGCCAGGTAGCAAATGCCATCATAAGCCCAGAGCCCTGGGATTGTGATGCCAGGCCCGCTGGCTGATCAGAACTGAAAAGTTGGAATAGGGATGCCTCTCACCGCTGGTCAGTGAAGGGGTGTTGCTGACAGTGCTGGACCATTTCCTGGCAAGCACTGATGCTCAGGCCGGGAACAGAAAGCAGCTGAGCAGCAACTGCAGACAGGGCCAGCTGTTCGGAGAGCAACAACAGGAGCATGCTTTTTACACGCATTGTTTTATCTAAATTCTGCCCATGGCAGGAAAGGTGCCCAATTGGTTTGCCTATCAGAGATGAAACAGCAGAAGAAAAATTCTAGGGACTATATAGTGTGCTCTATTTGCCTGTTAGACTGCAGGTAATATAGCAAGGGGACAGATAAGACAATTCCCAAACTGAGAACAGAAGGCCTTCCAAAAATGACGGATGAACTGAGATTCCTGGTCAGAAAGATTATCAGGATGCCATGAAGCGGTAAGAGCAGGTCAAAAGGCTTAGTCCTGGTGACCAAAGCACAGGTCTCTCATGCTGCGATATAGGCTGTAGCATCCTTCCTGAGAGGTGGCCTCCAGACAGAAAGGGAGAGAAGAGAAATGGTTTTGCGATTGCCAGGATGACCAACAAATATGGCACTATGTGACTATTAAAGCACCCTCAGTCAGAGCTGAGGAGGAACAACCAACCAATTGGCAGCACAATTGTTAGCAGCAGAATTCTGAGCCATCTGGAGGAAAAGTCAGGAGAAAGTGGCAATGATGAGGCCAGAAGGCAGAATGGGGTGTTCATCACAGTGGGAAGAAGAGATATGTTCAAAACTTTGAGAAAGAGAATGTGCCTTTACATTCTTAGAACCCAGGCGATAAGTCATGATGAAAATGATTCTGGAGATAAGGAGGGACCACCAGGGCTTGTCTAGAATTCAGGCAGATGGCTCGACTTAATATACTAGAGGTTCTTATGATCCATGTAGATGGTAGCCAGATTGTGGGCCCCCTCCAGCCATTGATGCAACTCCCTCTAGGACCAATTTCACAGCCAGGAGCCCTCAGTTACCAATGCAATAGTTGTACTCAGAGGGAGAGAATTTGTGAGAAAAGAATGCACAAAGTAAGCCATAAATCTTCAGACTGGTTGTGTGTTTTTAACCATGGATAGTCCAAGATCAGAGGGTAGGTCGAAGACTGGGTGATGGAAAACGACATCAGCTCCCAATGACAGGCTCCTATGGCAAGTACTAGCAAGGGAGTATGGAGTTTGACTAACAAGGAAAACTGGCAGTCCACTTAAACAATAATGAGCTGACGCTGCAAGGCTAGAGCTTCGTCCATGAAGTTACCAGCTGAGCCAGAGTCCACAAAGGCAGAGATATTGTGCTTAAGCCCCCTGCAGCCCCACAGGTTTTTTGAGTGTGCAAAATATCTGTAAATTGTGATGTAAAAGAGACTATTCTATATTGCTACGGATAGGTCTTGAAAACTGTTTATATTAATATAGATAACATCATTGGAGAAGGGTGGAAGGAAGGAGAAGTAGGGGGGAGGGGCGACGCTTGCCTTTCTCTGCCTGTGGGTTTGTGGAGGCACACACAGCTTACTAGCACACACAAGGGTGGCTACATAGGACCCTGCAAGGGAAAGAAGCCACTCTAAAACAGGACATCAGGCCAGCGCTCACGGGGCCAGCTGATTCTGCAGGAAATGAAAATGTTCAAACATCATGAAGCAGCATCCATTGTAAATGATTTAATCAGCATTTGAAATAGATCAAAAGTTTTGACTTTAATTTCACTTTAAATAGTTAGGATAAAATCAGTGTCTAATAAACATCAAACTAGGTTACATGAAGTGATGCATGTACATGTAAATACAGTCTTGTAATAATAATAATAATAATAATAATATTAGTTAAAAGATACACACCTTATATAACATACTGCATTTTTCTAGATGAACAGTGTGCAACTTTCGCCAACAAAGTTGAAGTCTGCCATTTAACCATTGGAGGTATCGAACATCTACGTCTTGTTTAGTTGATTTTCTAAGATCCTTTACTGCTGTGAAGTTCATGTTTTGAGGGCACTGAAACAAAAATAACAGTAATTATTCTTATTTTCTATGATTATAATTTTTTAAGGAGTTTGGAAAAAAAAAGATGCCAGGTAATATTCATATGAAACAGTGTGCTCAAGTGTAAGTGCAAAGACTAAAGTTTATCTTTGATTTTACTTCTGTCTGTTTCAAAAATGACATCAGAGAGGTAACAAATGAAAGAATATCAACCAAAATGAACTATGCATAATTACAGATGTGAAGAGAGCTTAATTCGAATTTTCCAGCTTACTTTGAATGTTAAAGAAAAATGCCTGGATTCTGAAAAATTAATTCTTGCAGGGTGGTTACCCCGACACTGCAACGGTTAACTGCTCATCTTTCTCTAGCGGCGAAAACAAGAAATGCTCATCTTATCCTCGTTCCTGCGGCAGTGACTGCTCACCTCTCGCCCTCTGCACTCTGGCACGTCCCTTGGTGTCCTCACATCTAACAGACCTATATTAGATGTGATGATGTCACGGGTCCTCAGATCGCTGGGGCCTGGGGGAGAAGAGCCTGTGGGGGATCGGTCTAGCAGCCAGGCAGGACTGAGAATCTGGTCAGTATTACTTCTTTACTTTCACCCCCTAGACAAAACAAGCAAAACCTTCTTAAGTCACATCTAAACACACTAAAAGCAATGGCTTGTAGTTCACTCACTGTAACCACTTCACAACCAGGGGTCATTGAAGTGGTTAATTGAGGGACCTATATGCCTGAAGCAGTATTGCCCAGCCCAAATGTTGCAGCTGGAGTATGTATCAGCTATTGTGGGCAGTGTTCTGCAGCAAGCACAAACAAGGGAAAGGTCGAAGTCCAGGAGAAGGGAAAAAAAGGGGAGGGATAAGAGTGAAAGCAGGAAGTAAAAAGAAAGGAAATATGAAAGTAGATAGAAGAATATAAAAAAATGCAGAGACAGAGGGTACAGGAGTAGCAGATCATCAAATGGATAACAACTGAGGCAAGAAAATAGATGGTCTGGAGTGTTCAATACAAGATTGCCATAGTGCCAAAAAGCAGTATATGTATTGGTAAGTTTTGCTGTCAAATTATCCAGGGTATTGTTGAGGCGGTGTTTGACCTCATCAAACACATACCAGTAATACTGTATCTATGTACAACAGGATGATATTTGCTTCCATTACATAAAGCGTTAAACAACCTTTTTATTGTTTTATTTTAATGACTGCAAACCTGTAAAAATTATTGTATCATGCTAATATTTGTGTGCACAAACCTGACTTGATCATAAAGCTCTTCTTATTAAAAATGTCTGCTTTGTCACTTGGTGAAATAGCCAATCAGGGAAGTAGCTCAGAGGGAGACTGCTCAAAAATCAGAATCCGAAAAACAGCAATGGTTTGTTCAAAATATAGATACAACACATATATAAATATATATTAACCCCTTCGTGACGGGAGACGTACACTGTACGTCCAGCCACAAAGGGACCAAATGACTTGTCACGTACACTGTACGTGACGAGTTATTTGCTGCTTTAGAGGGCTGTTAATCGCTGAGAATCAGCTTTTAACATTCATTAATGGTTGCCCTTACTACAGAGGCATTCATTAATGAAAGGGTTAACCTTTTTCAGACACCCGATACCTTAATATCGGGTGTCTGAGAGTCAAAGCAAAGCGGACACAGATGCCGGCTTTTGCCGGCATTCTGACAGCTCGTATAGATCGAGAGATATCTCTCTCAAGCTATACTGGCTTTTTTTTTTTTCTTTCATGAATAGATACAAAATGTGTCTATTCCTACAATGTATCTATTCCTGGAAGAAGAATGTTTGTTTGCTGATCGTTGTTGCAACAATCAGAAAACATTTAGTAACAGCTGAATCCTGAACTGCTGCAGGATCAGTGTCACTAACTTATTATCGGCTGTTCTGAAGTTTGAAGCAGCCTGATAATAACCAAAAATGTATTAATTTATCATGCAGTAACAGTGAGATTAATTCACAAAATCTGCTTGATATAATTAAATAAATAAAATAACATTTTTAAGTTAAAAAAAAAAGTGAAAAGTGTAAAAAAAAAAAAAAATTGTGAAAAGTGTAAAAAAAATAAAAAAATGTGTAAAAAATAAAATAAAATAAGGGACAAATAAATGAATGTATTTATTGCATTTTTTTAGCTGTGCTGGTTTTGTAAAAAAAATACTACAAATCAAAACTGGGAAAAAAGTGTTTTTTTTTTAACAGTTTTTTCCTCTTTTTTTATATTTTATTTGTCCTAAGTGAGGCGTTAGACGCACATATGTGATATAAATATGTAGCCCTATCTGTCCTCTAAAAAACAATATATAATATGTGTGGGTGCACTTTGTAAGAAAGTATATTACTGACGTGGAAGAATCACACAGCAAAAATGTCAAAAGTGTGTCAGTCATTTACGAACAGAAACTAAAAACAAGCTCAGTCATGAAGGGGTTAATATCCTCTATATTCCATCCTTACAAATATTAGGAGCAAATGTACAAAAGCTAAGCTATTTTGTGGACCTCTGAACAATGTTTATTTGCTGACTTCATGTTGCTTTTGCACTTATGCAGCATCTCTATCACCCCAAAAAGGACACGCCTAAGCAAATTAGACATCCCAGAGTATTAAATAAGTGATATATTACATATACAAATATGTACATCTTACACTTTTATTTTCCATAATTTTTATGGGATGGTGGCATGCGAAATGAAGATCAGACATATTTTATTAAAGCTTTTCCATTTATCTGCACATTTTGTGTGAAGATCATGCACAACAAATCTAATTGTTTTCACTACCCTGTCAATTCAGTCTTAAAGGACAACTATGAGGTGAGTGCTGAACTAAAATGTATTTTTTTTCCTTGAGAAGAGGTGATAAGGAGGGATCACCTTTTATAAATACATAAACAATCCATATAGTAAACAGAAAGATTTAAAGTAAAAAGACTTCCACAGCAGCTAGTTCTAGCAACTCTGTAAATGGTTTCAAAACATGGCTGTGTGTGTGTTTATAAAAAGCTACAAACTATAACAGGACATGAATAATTATAAGTAAAACCACAGAAGATTGTTGATCCGGGGAGTATCGGATTCCCTTAGAGCCTTTTTCTAGTACAGAGAGCAGGGACTGTCATCAATGCTTCCAGTAGGGATTACCCGCTCCATTTTCTGTTCTTCCAGTGCTCATTGGAGGGACATACAGGGGAGGTGGCGTGCATGGCTGGTTTTGGCTCTAGAGAGGCAGAGCCAGCTGTCACTTGGGCAGCCAGGCTGGACCCCAACAATGTTATCTGAATCTTTGCTGGCTGCAACGCAGCTAGTCCCTGCGTGGGTCACAGGAGTGCATTAGTAAATCTTTAAAATTCATTTACTTTTCCAGTTCCAGTTTATAGGTTTTTAGAGTTAGAAAACGAAACAACCCAGAGACCTCGTTCTAGACATTTTCAGGTTTCTGAAAAATATCTATGACCCATCTCAGTAGTTAGACATGCTTAAATTTGATGCAGTTCTAAAAGGAAATGTAGCACATTATAGTCAATCAAACTGAAACAAAAATTTCGGTAAAAGTATGTGAAAATCATCAGATGTGCCAGTAGATTTGACAATTTTTACTGCATGACAGCACATGTTCACTCTGTACATACATAGCAACCAGCCACACTGTGGGTGTGCAATTTACAGTTAGACATACACATTTTAAAATCTGTCTGCAAACCGTGTGAAAAATTGCTTGAGTGGGCAGGAATACTTTATGGTCATATGTGACTCTAAGCTACCTTTAATGTGGTTTTACAGTAGTCTCTTGGCAGGTATTCAATAGAGCTGTCTAGCTCAAGCACTGATGTATTATAGGCTTCACAAGTCATCCTATTAACAAAAGATTTCAGAGCAGGATCTTCTACACTTTTCTTAAAAAACGTGACTCAAACACTGAAAGAAAAACAACAACTACTGGTCCTTTATCTTTGTCATTTTTGTTTTTTAACTACAGTGATCCACATTAAAAGGTAGCTTAGATCCATATATAAACATATTACTAAAAGCACCCCCAAACTCCTTTGATGTATTAATAAGTCTGACTTCAAATGTGTTACCTTTCAAAATATGGAATAACTTGCTTTAATAAGCTGGCTAAACAGCTGAGGGCCTGTTAACACTTCGTGTAGCTTATGTAGCATTTTCGAATGCAAGCATGCCGCTTGTTTTGATGTGCGTCCACACGCGTTATCCATGCTGCGTTTGGGGCGGCATTGCTAACGCGTTGTGTTAAGGCCCACCAAAGCATGCGCTCAACGCCAATGTGTGAACGAGGACTAAGAAAGTAATTCACATTGTTCATCACCTTCTTACCAATATAAGTTAAAGAGAAACAAGAAGTTAGCCAAATAAAAAAAAAATCTCCTTTTTTTTGCACTATGGGTATACTATATTTTCTCAGATAAAATGGCACAATATACTTGTTGAAACAAACAAACACATGATAAACTGAAAGCATGTAGAGCTGTTCACCTAAAAAACACAGCAGGAAAAGGTGTGGGAGGCAGGCAAATGGCTGTACTGTGATGTATATTTGGAACAATGTGCAATGTTAACACTATGCATGTTAGCATTTATTAAAAAAAGTTATACACTGAGTGGCCAGATTATTATGACCACCCCATCAGTACTTCGTTGGGCCACGAGATAACTCCACGAGATGATTTCGTTGGGCCGCCTCGTGACTCCAAGATGTTGAAAGGTGATGCGAGGAATCTGACACTGCACTGTTGCCCTTCTGTTGTCTTGTACCAGTCTTGCCACTCTCCATTCTGCCCTAACATTGACTAGTCGCTGACGGCCACAATTCGCACGTTCAGACCCAGATTTTAAGCTGACAGTCCAGTCTTTAAACACTTTAACAACAGCTGATCTTGAACATTTAACGCATTCTGCTGTTTTGCGGATACTCGCTCCATGAAGAGGTCAGAATGGAGCAGATGACTAGGCTGTGACACGGAGTGGCTGAAGCAGACGGAGAAGACGACACAGCAGGTTAGTACTGCAACACTGCATGGGGGCTGGGCACAAAAATGCTGTTTAACTACATATAATATTTTTTTTAAAAAGACATTAAATAAAGAAATAACTACGTAGATATTGATAACTAAGGCTTGTATCCCCCTAGTGATGAAAATAGATGAGCACATGTCCAGACTCCAGACCAGAACACTGTATAGTGTGGCACAGCTATATCCAATTCTGCATACCTAGCTTTATATTATAAAAAAAAGTAATAATAATATAAAGCCAGTACAGCAGAATTGGATATAGCTGTGCCACACTATACAGTGTTCTGGTCTGGAGTCTGGACATGTGCTCATCTATTTTCATCACTAGGGGGATACAAGCCTTAGTTAGCAATGGCATGATAAATATTAATTTCATGTTCATGTTCTTCATAATATTAAGAAACTGACCTAAAATCATGATTTTGTATTGCTTTAGAAAAAATGTGACCTGTCCCTTTAAGAAAAAGTATCGGTAATTGGTAACGGCGAGTACTTGAAAAAAAGGTATTGGTACTCGGTCTTAAAAAAGTGGTATCGGAGCATCCCTACTATTTATAATGGTCTGGCCCTCTAGCAACTTCAGCATGAAATTATAGCTAATTTGCCTACAAATGTCAGGTGGTCATAATAATCTGGCCACTCAGTGTATATCTCAGATACAGTTCTTCTCACATACAAAGACAAATATGGGGCCTTTTATTGCGGACCTATTTCTAAAAATACTAGTTGCCCAGCTCTCTCTGACTTCTATATTCAAAGTCAAAATCAAGCAGAGTGGAAGGTGAAAGAATATCCAAACCCAAAAACAAAAATCTAACATATTGCAGGTTAACAGATTTAAGATGTGGTGGCGGCATTCTTTTTCATTTTTAGTCGAAGTATATTTTCTGTAAGTACGGAAAAATAACTCTTTATCACACCAGAATTCCAGTGTCTTTATAACTTCCTGTGAGCTGAATGGATATAAAACATTTTCACCTGTTACTAGCTTTGTTCTGTAAACTACACAATAATTCCTCCCTATGTAATAGAAATGTGGAGAGAAGGAGGGGTCAAATTAGAAGAACAGTCTAGTGCCAACCATTACTTCCTCCATAGATACAGTGGAGCAAGTGGAGTCTCCCTAGGGCAGCAAGTGTGTTATTTGCAGTATTATCAGGTACAAATATAAAAGGAAAATGCAAATTACTCTTACTGGAAATTCTCTTTCCACATAGTCACCATGACAGCACACATGAGACCATTTAACTTTGAGGGACAGCACACCTGAGAGATATAATAAAATATATTTTGGGGGATGGAAACTGAAGATAAAAAAACTTTCCTTCCAACACCACCTCCTGATCCAGATCCACATTAAGTCTGCAGTGCCAGATGAAAGTATAAAACTTTTATTACGTTTAGGCTCTACATATCGGATTCACTGTAGATGAGGCAGCCTCGGCCCAAGATGTAGACGTCGATCTGGTAGAACACACTTTACATTTTTCTAGAGGAGGTGTACTGAAGACTATTTAACTGCAATAAATAGCTTGGCTAATCCATCTGGCTATAGTGATCTTGGGTGCCTTATGGCCTTTATTCCTTCCCTGAAACTGAAATAAGACTGAGAATATGTCTCTTAAAATCTTAGTGACTAGTAGTAACTGGAGCAAGCACCTTCTCACATCCAGTTTGTGCAGATATTCCTCTTCTTTATTAGAAAGATCAGGATAAAACGAGGGAATAGTCATCTCGATAGAGCAAAAAGGAAATTTAATCCTACCTTTAAAATGTTATCCTGGAATACACTGAAATAAAGGTATAGGTATAGAGAGAGCCTGAATTTGTCCCACCCTCCTGGCCATAGGAGATCGCCAGAAGGAAAGTGCCTTGATTATTAAAAAATTGTTGGCTTGATCTAATGGTTTGAAGGGTGCTCCAATTAAATCTTTTAATAGCCAGAATAGTTCCCAGGGAGGAACTTTTTAGTTCTGAGCTGGGAACTCCTTCCTCCGGCACTTGTCGGAGATTGTGTCCCCAGTCTTTGCGAACAAAAATTCGCTTTCCAAGGATATGCCACAGTGCTTAGCCTTAGATCCCATGTCACCTCAACAGGATTTTATCCTTTCCTTCTTTTAGAGTTGGATAAGACTGCAATTCTGGCAGGGAAGTCAATAGTCTCCAGGGTGGGGGGGAATATTTTCAAATGTTGTTTACCGCCTTGGTGAGAACTGGGAGGAACTCCAAAATCTGCTGTTTGGGGTTGCCACTTGCAGATGAGATTCCGGCTGCATTATCCATATTTTTAATGAAATTGTGAACCTTGGCAGAGAGCATATAATAGACCTGGACACCGCACAGAGAAGGGATGTTTAAATGTGGCCATTGCAGCATGTGTAGAGATCCTCTATTGACCATTCATTAACTGCTACACTTCTCATTTTGTGTAAATGATCAATTTTCCATGCAAAAAAAAATATGCAGGCGAGGAATAAGTACATGAAGGTGAGCATATAGGTGATATGTTGTCACAGAAGGAAAGAAGACCATTGGCAGAACACTACAAGGCGTTTCATAAATCCTCAGCTGAAGGATTAAGATTCCGTGGCATCACCTAAAATTTCCTGCATGGAGAGGAGATAAAAATAAAAGACTCCTACAGGAGGTTGTCACAGTGGAGATATAAATTTAATGTCACTGACCTTTAATCACTTTAATAATGAACTCTTATTGTAAGCATTTCTCTGAATTTTCTAGTAGTAATTACATTACAGAAATGTCTGATATCTGCAAAATTAACCGATTCCTGATTTTTCTGTGGTCCCTGCAATATGCGGAAATTTCTCCTGTTATATATTTTACTATGATACAGCCCCTTTAACACTGTAAACTAGGAGTTTCCCACGAGTCAACACATTATTATACGAATTGGTCTATAGGTGCATAGACGAATTGGTCTATAGGTCTATAACTTACTTAAAAGGAGATCTATGGGGTGAGTGAATTACACTCATCCCCATAGTTAGAGCCGACGTGTGACATTGAAACTATCACACGTCGGCTCTATTGATCGGGAAGTGAGCAAAAACATAGCACAGTTCACTCACTTCCCCATCATCTCCCTGCAGAGAGCAGTGACTGTCAGATAAGTTGAAACCCTTTTTGAAAAAAATGTTTTCTCTTTTGTTATGTTTTTGCACATATCTACTGCTCGCCAGCAGTAGATATATGCAAAAACCGCTGAGGGTTTAATAACCTTTTAATCCCTGCAGTAATTATCCAGTGGAAGGCTCTAACTATTTGCCTAGCTAAATTCAGGTACTGACTTTTTTTTGGCCCAGCAAAAAACATTTTTTTTAATATATACTCCTTCCTTGGTGTCAGACTGGCTGGATAACCTAACGTTAAAATAAAACTTGAGCAAAGCTTCCCATGGCTGCCAGGGAACTTGTTGACAATACCATTTCTGATTTGGAAGTCCAGAGAGCTATCAAGTCAATGAAGAATGGCAAACAGCCTGGCCCACATGGCTATACTACCTGTTATTATAAGAAATATGTTGATATTTTAGCCCCACACTTGTCTCATATGTTTAATGCCTTACGGAATGTTGCATCGTTTCTAGTGAATCCCTCCTATCCACCATTTGCATGATACCAAAGCCGAATATAGACCATACCACCTGGTCAAATTTTTATCCTAAGTCCCTCATCAACATCGAAATTAAACTTTTAGCTAAGATTTTGACATCAAGGATTAACAGTATCTTGACTGATTTGATTTCAGCTGACCAGGTCCGATTTACTGTATACTGGGTAGGCACGCTGCAGATATCAGGAGGATATCCCTTTTTTTACATTTATCCCATTCTTGTCACACTCCTCTACTACTGCTGTCCTTTGACATACCAAAGGCATTTGACTCAATTGGAACAATCTCCATTTCACCTATTGCATGCATACACGCAATAGGTTGGACTTGATGGACTTATGTCTTTATTCAACCTCAAATACTATGTAAACCCTCTGCTACTGGGGCTTCGGCCCTCAGTTCTTTTGTTGGATATATTAGCCCTATATTCCTCTCCCTGGGCACAGTTCTGTTATGCAGGCTTTAAATCTGAATTGGTCCCTATAGCTAGGGCTCCCAGGCAAGGTTCCCTGTTGTTCCCACTGGTGTTTGCCTTAGCCATAGAACAAGGTATCCGTCTCTCCAATAACGTTATTGGATTAGAGGGGTGGGGGTTATCATCAAACAAATTGGTTGCTTTGATGATGCCATTTTACTACTCTCCAAGCTTCTGCTGCCTTTACCAAAACATAATGCCCATATTGACAAGATTTTGGGGGTCTCAGGGTTAATAGTAAACTCAGCTAAGTCGCAGGCTATGGGTGTTTCTAGTTCCTCATGGGAGATGGAGTCCCTTCTCTCCTCTTTTTCTTTTAGTTGGAGTCTTCCTCCACTATTTGAGTATTTCTCTGATGATAGTTTGTATCGCTTTTTCAACATCTTTATTCACTCTTAACCCCCTGCAGGAAACATAGTTTATTGTGGATGGGTAGGAAAGAGGCGTTTGAAATGGTTTTATTGCCCAAATTCCTCTATTATGGACGAGTTCTCGCAGTTAACATTCCAGCTTATCGCTCACTTGCCCTTCATCGTTGCATCCAT